GAGTCGCCTGTGACTCATAGTGACCCTATTTACAATAGCTCTGAACTCTGCCCTATCTCCTGAGCCATTCTCAGTCTCCAACACCCCAAATACTATTACCCCATTTACTGAGTCAATTCATCTCATCCAGGGTCTTCTTCCCCTGTCCCGTCTCTCTACCTTTTCAAGCAAGATGTCCTCCAAAGACTAGCAGCTTCTGACAACATGCCCAAATTACGTGAGATGGAGCTTCAAAATCCTTGCCTCCAAGGAGCAGCTCCATTTCACCCTCTCCAGGATAGACCTGTTTGTTCTCTTGGCAGTCCATAGGATGTTCAATACTCTTCTCCAGCACCACAACTCAAAGACAGTCATAGTTTCTATTCATGGTAGCAGCAGTTAAGAAACCAAAAGATGCACTGCGTGGGGAAAATCTGCTGTCAATGTAAAGTGCTAAAGAGCGAAGATGTCTGCTTAAAGACTAAGAAATTCCCAGGTGGACTGAAATCACTGGTCCATGGACACACTTTTAAGGGGCACTACTGATGGTAAGGAGCTCTGGTGGCCTAGCGGTCAGAAGCTGTGCTGCAATCCCAAAGGCACAAATCCACCAGCTGCTCTGTAGGAGGAGGATGGGCAATCTTCTCCTGGGTTATTTACTGCCTTGGAAAGCTACGTGTCAGTCAGCACTCACTTGATAGCACACAACAAACAAAAAACTATCATAGGGAGTTCTCGTGGCCACATGGCAGGGAACTGAACTGCCAACCAAATGGCAGATGGTTCAAACCTACCAGCGCTCTAAGGGAGAAATTTGGGCAATAATACCCTCTCATGTGATGCACTGCCTCTCACTCACTGGAGGGTCAACTATGAACCAGTTCCAGCTCACCAGTACAAAACAGCTTTTTCTCACACTTAAATCAAAAAAGGTCTCTATTATATGTGACAGAAGCCTGAGCCAACTTGGGGTTAAGCAAAAATCCATTAATGGAGTCAAAATTGTTCTGTAATTTGCACTTTGCTGGTTGATCTCATATTACTGTGTACTGCATCTTCCACATGAGTTGAGACACTGGATGTGGGCAAGTTGAGTCCAGTTATAGGATCCACAGTACTTTGCTTCCAACCTACATCAAGTCTGCCTTTGCTCAGTTCTTAAGTTCATTCTCCAACCAATCACCGAAGAGACAGCCAGTTCATCTGGCCAGCCAGAGGAATATGCCCCTTTGTGCAAGGAGTCTCTGATAGGCAGACTTACCTGGATTATCCATCTGCATCCTTTAGAAGGGGAAGGTAGAAAAAATGGTGGTGGGAAACTGCAAAAGCCATAGCTGAGGCATGATCAGAACACAACTCAGAATGTTCTTGTTGTCAAGTGCCGCCCAGCTGGCTAGGACTCGCAACAACCCTACAGACCAGAATCTTGCCCTATCTGTACCATCCTCATAGTCCCATTCAAACATACTCAATCCCATTGTCATCACCAGTCAGTCCAACTCGTTGAGGATTTTCCTTTTGCTGACCCTTTATCATTGTTGGCATGATGCCTTTTTCCCAAGGCCTGGCTTCTCTTGACAACATGCCCAAGGTATGTAAGGTGGTTTCATCATTTTTGACTCTGAAGAGCACTCTTGTTGTTTTTCAAGTAAAAATTAAAAAACCCTTATTGCCACTGAGTTGGAATTAAAAAATAAATAAAAAAGTCAGAGGTGCATGGTTTGAATCCACCACATGCTCCGTTGGAGGAGGGGCAACTTCCACCTGTCTCATTCAGATTTGATTCAATCTCTCTCTCTCTCTCTCTCTCTCTCTCACACACACACACACACACACACACACACTGGCATCCCAGCGGTTTTCCAGAGGCTGTAAATTGCATGAGAATGCTCACCTTTCTCTGTGGAGTGGCTGTTAACCACATGCCTCTGGTTTGGCAGTGTACTAAAATGTACTGGTTGCTATCATCTCACCCTAGTAAGAGTAGCAAAATTTAACAGAACAGCAAACAAATGCTGGCGAGGTTGTGGAGAAACTGAAACCCTTATTCACTGCTGGTGGGAGTGTAAAATGGTGTAACCACTGTGGAAGGTGGTATGGCACTTTCTCAAAAAGTTGGAAGTAGAACTACCATTTGACCCAGCAATTCCACTACTGGGAATATACCCTGAAAAAACCATAACCGCCACCTAAGCAGATATGTGCACACCCATGTTTACTGCGGCTTTGTTCACAATAGCAAGGAGTTGGAAACAACTTAAGTGTCCATCAACAAACGAATGGATAGAGAAGCTGTGGTATATTCACACAATGGAATACTACTCTGCATTGAAAAACAAGGAACTCATGAAATATTATTTAAAATGGGTAACCCTGGAGGACATTATACTGAGTGAAATATCTCAGTCACAAAAGGACAAATACTGCATAGTGCCACTGTTAAAAAACAGGACTGACATCGGGGTTAGGGGGAGAGAGTGAGAAAGAGGGGATAAATAATGTATACTGCATTGAAACAGATGAGGGAGAGAACTGTTTAAAAGGGATATATGATTAGGTATTATTGTCATGACAGGTGTCCAGAATGAAGGCTGCATAGTGGAGTGGACTTGGGAGGTGGGATTGTTTAACAGTCAAAGAATTTTTCTTCTACTTTTCAAAGAGAAGAGCAAATTCGGGGGGCGAAGTTGGGCAGCAACAATGAATGAAATCCAAAGTCTCTGTAAACTTCATTAAAATTAATTAAAAAAACCCACCCCCCAAAAAAACTTGGTCGAAGATTAAATGGGGGGGGGGGAAGTACTGGTTGTTTCTTAACCTAGGCAGTTGCGCAAGTATTTGTTCTACCTTTCTAATAGACTCAAAGACATGTAACACCTTTAAAAGAAAACTCTAGTGCCAGCTCCACAGGGAGTTGTGCTATTAACCCGCACATACACCTCTCATCCTAGTTTTGAAAGTATGAATGTCAAAGATTGATGTTGCACGTGGCTGCTCGCTAAAACATTAGAAGTCTGAGTTTAGTTAAAGATCTTTGGAGGATAGACTACTAAAAAGCAGTTGAGGAACGCCCAGACCAGATGGCTGCCTGCTGCACCACACTGAGAGCCTTCTCTGCACCAGTCCTTCCTGCAGCAAAGTCCCACACACCAGAAGACAAGATGTCCAGCAAAAGGGCCAAGGCCAAGACCACCAAGAAATGGCTACAGAGGGCAACTTCCAAAGTCTTTGCGTTGCTTGACCAGTCCCGGATCCAGGAGTTTAAGAAGGCCTTCAACACGATTGAACAGAACCGTGATGACTTCATTGACAAGGAGGACCTGCACAACATGCTGGCCTTGCTGGGAAGAATCCTGCAGATGAGTACCTAGAGTGCATGGTGAGTGAGGTCCCAGAGCCCATCAACTTCACCATGTTCCTCACCATGTCTGGGGAGAAGCTGAATGGCACCAGCCCGGAGGATGTGATCCCAAATGCCTTCGCCTGCTTTGATGAGGAAGCCTCAGGCTTCATCCATGAGGATCACCTCTGGGAGGTGCTTATCACCATGGGAGACCAGTTCACAGAAAAAGAAGTGGACAAGATGTACCAAGAGGCACCAATTGACAAAAAAGGCAACTTCAACTACATGGAGCTGACCTGCATCCTTAAACATGGTGCCAAGGACAAGGATGACTAAGCCACTCCTACCTCGCCAGTGCCTAGGTCCCTATCCTAGCACCCCTCCTCCACACTCATTCATCTCTGTCATGTCTCTGTTCACGTCCCCAAAAGACCCAATTAGGAGATCCTTCCTCTGAGGGATAGAGCCATAGCTCCCAATGCAGTAAGGGCCACTACGTGGCCAGTGTCAGGCAAAGACACTAGGTCACCTAAAGGCACACATTCCCCCCATGACCCAGAGACCCTGGAAGCTGTAAGGAGTCATTGGCTCAGCCAAGGAAACCATCATCCTGAGAGGCTCCAGGACAAGACTTAGAGGGACCAGGAGAAGATTCCTTTAACGGAGCTCTGGGCTGCCACCTAGGAGGAAGGTGCCCTGTATCCAGGTGTCCAATGCCACCTTAGTCATGTCCCCAAGCAGGGTGTGAAAGCCCTTTCCCAGCCATTGCCACAACACAAGCCTCACCGGGTACCTTCTCCCCTACACCCTACCCAGCCACCAGCCCACTCCTCATCCCACCTTGGGCATGTATGCAAAAAGATGCATGTGGCATGGAATTTGTGCAGGGGAGGTGAACCTCAAATAGAAGTCTGAGCAATGAGGAGAGAAAAAAACCACCAAACCCCCTATGGAGTACAGCAGGCTGCTATGAATTGAAATCCACTTAATTAATTGATTTTTTTTAATCTTAACTGATTTTAAAAATCAGTACCAAAGGCGATCTTGCAACTAAAACGGAAATGTGACATTTTCTTCATTGCACAGACCTCATCTGCTATTATCCCACCAAGCCTGGGTGATGGGCTTTGCTCATTGAGGTCTATATGCTCCAAGACAGAAGGGGAAGGACAGCAAAGCAAAGAAAATCTTCAGTCAGTGTACAATTCCCATATCCTTCTTTTTTACAATGTTTATATTTTGCCAAAGTTAACACACTATTTAAAGTTACTACAAAGGATGCCAAAAAAGCATTAAAAGATACAAATCCTGGTATCTTTAACAACAGCTACATTTTCTTTTACAATAAATACACCATTTACATTCTTTCAAATTTTATTCAAAAAAAAAA